ACTTTGCAAGGCAGCACACTTGCACAACCCTTCATCACTGTGGTTATGAAGGCTGTGCAAAAGTGGGGTAGAGATCCTCTTAGGAAGGAAATAAACAAATTCAGACCTCTGCACAAACAGACACTTCAACTTCAGGCTCAAAACCAAGTTAACTCAGGGCCCTTCCACACAGGCCTGTATCACAGAATATCAAGGCAGAAAATCCCACATTATCTGCTTTGAACTAGGTTATCTGAGTCCACGCTCAGATAATGTGGAATTTTCTACCTTAATACTCTGGAGTCTTTTAAACAGAGGCTGGATGGCCATCTGTCAGGGGTGCTTTGAATGCAATATTCCTGCTTCTTGGCAGGGGGTTGGACTGGATGGCCCATGAGATCTCTTCCAACTATATGATTCTATGATTCTATAATTCTGGGATATAGGGGTGTGTGGAAGGGTTCTCAGATAACTCATTCCAATAAAACTAGTGTAAATAAGGCTTTAAGATTTAGATTAAGTCAACGTTTCTCAACCTGGAGGTCAGGACCCTTGGGGGGGATTGGGAGGGGAGTGTCACAGAGTTCACCAAAGACACAGTATTTTCTGTTGGTCATGGGAGTTCTCTGTGGGAAATTTGGCCCAATTCTCCCATTTGTGAGGTTCAGAATACTCTTTGAATGTAGATAAACTATAAATCCCAGCAACTACAACTCCCAAATGTCAAGATCTATTTCCCCCAAACTCCATCGGTGTTCACATTTGGACATATTGAGTATGCGTGCCAAGCTTGGTCAGATCTATCATTGTTTAGACCCACTGTGTTCTCTGGATGTAGGTGAACTACAACTCCAAAACCCAAGGTCATTGTCCACCAAACCCTTCCAGTATTTTCTGTTGGTCATGGGAGTTCTGTGTACCAAATTTTGTTCAATTCCGTCTTTGGTGGAGTTCAGAATGCTCTTTGATTGTAGGTTAACTATAAATCCCAGCAACTACTACTCCCAAATGACAAAATCAATCCCCCCCTAGCCCCACCAGTATTCAAATTTAGGCATATCAGGTATTTATGCCAAATTTGGTCTAGTGAATGAAAATACATCCTGCATATCTGATATTTACATGATGTTTCATAACAATAGCAAAAGTACAGTTATGAAGTAGCAACTAAAATAATTTTATGGTTGGGGGTCACCCCAACATGAGGAACTGTATTAAGGGGTCACAGAATTAGGAAGGTTTAAAACCATTGGATTAAATGGTATATGTACTTCTCATCCCCCCTCCCCCCCAAAAAGTGTGTGGCTGTGGGGAAATAGACTAAAAAATCCAAAAGCGAAGGATGAGTTCCGGCCCCATGTTTGTTTATTTCTGTGTTTGTTTGTTTACCACTGTCACCTCCCTGCTTTGTTTAGCAAGACAAAGCTCAGGTTGCTTGTCTGGAAGTGTAAATATGCAATTAGTACGTCTCCTTTAAAAATAGACAACACACCACTAATCTTAACAAAGTATTATTATCAGACATTTCATTATAGCCTTTGACTAGAATTATTTAAATATTTGCTTTAGCCCATTTGAAGTATCCAAATCAACTCTCCAAAACTTGATTTCCTCTAAAAACAAACAGACTTGGATTAAGGAATGTGCAGGATTCTGCGATCTGGAAACCTAAAATTTTCAACCTTTTTCTTGCATAATAACGCTTCAGTTTAACAGAACATCTACACTACAGAATTAAAGCAGTTTGACACCAATGTGTTGTCGAAAGCTTTCATGGCCAGAAACACTGGGTTGCTGTGAGTATTCCAGGCTGTGTGGCCATGTTCCAGAAGCATTCTCTCCTGACGTTTCTCCCACATTTATGGCAGGCATCCACTTGCCTCAAACAGACATGAGTTCTTTCTCCCACCCTGGACATTATTCCATCGATATATAAACCTTACAACCTCTGAGAATGCCTGCCATAGGTGTGGGTGAAACATCAGGAGACAATGCTTCTGAAACATGCCCATACAGCCCAGAAAACTCACAGCAACCCAGTTTGGCACCACTTTGCCATAGCTCAATGCAGTGGAATCATAGTAGATGTAGTTTTAGAAGGTCTTTAGCCTTTTCTGTCAAAGAGTGTGGGTGCTTCATCAACTACAAATTCCAGAATTCCATAGCACTGAGCTATGGCAGACAAAGTTTGTAGACGCGCCTAAGACATAAGGGAAAAGCCCTGCCAGAAATTAATATTGGTCAATAATTACTATACATTGCTACTATTAATTTGCAACTACAGCAGACCCTCAGTTAACCAGAACTCAGGCAACCAGAACTCTCAAGCAAACGGCCAAAAATAACTAAAATTGTATACTGTATTCCCAAAGAGGTTTTTATAATAGCATAAAATCGTGTTACATTAAGTTTGTCTTTGTGTTGCCGAAGGCTTTCATGGTTGGAATCACTGGGTTGCTTTGAGTTTTCCAGGCTGTATGGCCATGTTCCAGAAGCATTCTCTCCTGATGTTTCACCCACATCTATGGCAGGCATCTTCAGAGGTTGTGAGGTCTGTTGGAAACCAGGCAAGTGTGTATATATATCTGTGAAATACCCAGGGTGGGAGAGAGAACTCTTGTCTGCTGGAGGCAAATGTGAATATTGCGATTGGCAGGAAGCAGCCAGGCTTTGAAGCTGCAAGGCTACTTAATGCTAATAAAGGTGGGGAATTGCAACATTCACACCTGCCTCCAACAGACAAAAGTTCTTTCTCCCACCCTGGACATTACTCCACAGATATATAAACCTCACTTGTCTAGTTTCCAGCATAACTCACAATATCTGAGGATGTTTGTTTTTTTCGTGTTAGGAGTGGCATAAGAAACTGCAAATCGCTTCTGGTGTGAGAGAATTGGCCGTCTCAGGGGACGCCTGGATGTTTGATGTTTTACCATCCTTGTGGGAGGCTTCTCTCATGTCTCTGCATGGGGAGCTGGAGCTGACAGACAGAGCTCAACGTGCTCTCCCCGGATTCGAACCTCCGACCTGTTTGTCAGCAGTCCTGCTTGCACAAGGGTTTAACCCATTGCACCACCAGGGGCTCCACTTCTGAGGATGTCTGCCTTGCTACCTCATCACACTAGAGAATGCATCCACTTTAAATCCAGTTTCTGCCTCCTGCAGAATTCTGGGGTTTGTAGTTTAGTGGGGCTGTTAAAGTCTACTCCCTAAACTACAAACCCCAGAATTCTGCAGGAGGCAGAAACCAGATTTGAAGTGGATTCATTCTTTGGTGTGATGAGGTCCTAGGATGTGGGTGAAACATCAGGAGAGAATGCTTCCAGCCCGAAAAACTCCATACAGTTCGAAAAACTCAAGAGTTTGTGTTTACAATACATGGCCAGTGTTTTTAAACTTTTTAATCCTTGCTATCAGCCCTGCCTAATGTGATTTATTTCCTGTGTTTAAATTATTGTGACTTTACATTGCTTGATGTTTATTTATATTTCTTGTATTCTATTTTTATATTTTACTGTCGTTGTATGTTGCTTATTTGCATTATTGTGTTGTTGGGTTTGGCCTCAGGTAAGCCGCCCTGAGTCCCCTTGGGAAGATGGTGGCGGGGTATAAATAAAGTTTATTATTGTATTGTCGAAGGCTTTCATGGCCGGAATCACTGGGTTGTTGTAGGGGTTTTTGGGGGGCTATATGGCCATGTTCTAGAGGCATTTTCTCCTGACGTTTCGCCTGCATCTATGGCAAGCATCCTCAGAGGTACTCTGAGGATGCTTGCCATAGATGCTGGCAAAATGTCAGGAGAAAATGCCTCTAGAACATGGCCATATAGACCCAAAAAAACCTACAACAACTCAAAGTTTATTATTATTATTATTTATTTGTCTCAGTCAATACAGCATTGCTGAGATGATATAGTATTACTTTGGCCTATTTCCAACAGTAACTCTCATGCAACCAGAAACATTTATTCGGCATCTACCCATCCAAATTGAGGGAGTTTATTGTTTGGCTGAGGTGAGGAACCACTTTTCCACTCCTAGGCTACACTGCAGAAGTGTCTATCTCAGACATGGGTAAATTTGTGCCCTCGGAGTGTTTTGGACTCCAACTCCCACCATTCCTAACAGCCTCAGGCCCCTTCCTTTTCCCCCTCAGCGGCTGAGGGGGAAAAGGAAGGGGCCTGAGGCTGTTAGGAATGGTGGGAGTTGGAGTCCAAAACATCTGGAGGGCCAAAGTTTGCCCATGCCTAATATGTCTTCTCCCCCTTCTTCAGCTTTGCTTTCTTCCCCGTCCTTTTGACAAACAGCCCAACCAAACCTAGCAAAGCCCCAATTTCCTCAGCACCAAAAGGGACATGGTTGTTGTTTTTTAATCCCTCTGCGCTTGGAAATGTCACCATCTCCGTGTGCGGGTGGTGTGTGCCTTTTGGATGGGTTGTCCTCGAAGTGGCACCTTGCAGAGGATGTGGAACCTGGAAGGAAGCCCAGGCAAAGGAGGAGAGAGGTTTCCCCCACCTTTCTCTCTTCCCTCTCTCTCAACCTCCAGCCTCTGCAAAGGAGGAAAAACTCCCAGGTCTGCATAGCACCAAAACCAAAAGGAAGGAGGGGGCAGCCCATGGATGGAGGGGAGCAGACAGGCGCAAGGAGGAAGGAAGGAAGCGGGGGAAGGGTCTCCTCCAAGAAAGTCCCCTGAAACACACACACAATGAGGACTTGGTGGTGATAATGAGGATGGTGGAGGTGATGAAGATGATGATGGTAGTGGTGGTGATGATGATCCCACTCAACCCATCACCCCATACATTGACAAAAGCTGCCCCTCCAACCTCTCAAAGACTATCTTCATTGGCTGCCGCTCCAACCTCTCAAGACTATCCCCATTGGTGGTCTTCTTTCTCCCCAGACTTCTTTCTCCAGGTAGGACCCCAGAGACCCAAAAGTCGCCCCACTTGGAGTCCATCCCAAGCAGTTTCCATCCCACCTCCTGAGGACGCCCCCCCCCCCCCACCTTCTCCTCCTTACCGTTGGACCTCCGCACAATGTTCTCCAGGAAGGTATTCTGGGGAGCCACCAGCCCTCGCCTTCCCCCAGCCATAGTCAAGCGGGTGGGCTGGAGTCTCTACCGCGCTGCCTCTCCGCGCGCCTCTTCTCCCCCTTCGCCTCCTCTTCCTCCCCTTCCTCCCCTTCTTCCTCCTCCTCCTCCTCCTTCTCCCTCTTCTTCCCGCTCTGTGCTCCTCATGGTCCCCGTCGAGAGGCTTTGCAGCATCAGCTCCTTGCTTGCTCCGAGCCACTCGCCCGCCCTGGCGCTGCAATCCCCGCCGCGACGCGCCGCCCGCCGCAGGAGACCTGTCCGGCAGCGCCCTCTGCTGGCCGCTCTCGGAACTCCCCGGCCAAAGGAGGCGATTGGCGCTTGTTGTGAGATACTACAATACAAGCGCTTGGTTTGGGGGACGAGGGGTCTGGTTGAGACTGAGTGGGAACAGCCCGTGGACTGCAGCGCCCCCTGTAGACCTTCAGAAGAAAGGACAGCCACCAAGAGTCTTGTGGCAACTTTTCTTTCATAGAATCACAGAGTTGGAAGAGACCTCATGGGCCATCCAGTCCAACCCCCTGCCAAGAAGCAAGAAAATCGCATTCAAAGAACCCCGACAGATGGCCATCCAGCCTCTCTTTAAAACAGGGTTCCTCCAACTAAGGCCCGGGGGCCGAATATGGCCCTCCAAGATAATTTACTCGGCCCTCGCTCAGGGTCAACCTAAGTCTGAAATGACTTGAAAGCACACAACAACAACAACAACAATCCTATCTCATCAGCCAAAAGCAGGACTCACACTTATTTATTTATTTATTTACTGCTTTTATATTCCGCCCTTCTCACCCCGCAGGGGACTCAGGGCGGATTACAGGGTACACATATATGGCAAACATTCAATGCCAATTTTTGACATACAAACATATACAGACATACACAGAGGCTATTTAACTTTTTCTGGCCGCCAGGGGAGCTGTCGCTTTCATCGTCCATCTGCGACGCTGATGAAGCACTTCCGCATTCCCCGCATGCTTCCCCGCTGGAAAGCTTTGCTGGAGTCTTCTTTATGGCCTCATAAATCAGTTAATTTAGCCTCCCCACACTTTAAGGTGGTACCTAATTTTCCTACTTGACAGATGCAACTGTCTTTCGGGTTGGAAAGGTCGACAACAGGCTACACAATTGGTTGGAAACCCACTCCAACCTGGGCTGGCTTCGAACTCATGACCTTTTGGTCAGAGTGATCTTAATGCAGCTGACACTCAGCCAGCTGCGCCACAATCCCGGTGCAGCATAGGAGCATAATTGTTTGTTAAAATTTGTTTAAAATGTTCATTTTAATTATTTTTTAATTATTGTATTGTTTTTAAGTGTTTTTGCACTACAAATAAGATGTGTACAGTGTGCATAGGAATTCATTCATTTTTTAAAAAAATTATATTGGGCCATCCAGTCCAACCCCACTCTGCCAAGAAGCAGGAAAATTACATTCAAAGCACCCCAGACAGATGGCCATCCAGCTTCTGTTTAAAAGATTCCAAAGAAGGAGCCTCCACCACACTCCAGGGCAAAGAGTTCCACTGCTGAACAGCTCTCACAGTCAGGATTGACTGTTCTAATGTTCAGATGGAATCTCCTTTCTTGTAGTTTGAAGCCATCACTCCGTGTCCTAGTCTCCAGGGCAGCAGAAAACAAGCTTGCTCCCTCCTCCCTGTGACTTCCTCTCCCATATTTATACATGGCTATCATGTCTCCTCTCAGACTTCTTTTCTTCAGGCTAAACATGCCTGGCTCTTTAAGCCGCTCCTCATAGGGCTTGTTCTTCACCCCCTTGATCATTTTAGTCGCCCTCCTCTGGACACATTCCAGCTTGTCAACATCTCCCTTCAATTCAGCTGCCCAGAATTGGACACAGTATTCCAGTTGTGGTTTCACCAAGGCAGAATAGAGGGGTAGGATGACTTTCCTGGATCTAGACATCAGTTTTTGGTGCATTGGACCAGCACTCACAAAAACTTAACTGCACCAAAACCAAAGGTGCATCTACACCAGGCATGGGCAAACTGGCTGTTAGGAATTGTGGGAGTTGAAGTCCAAAACACCTGGAGAGCCCAAGTTTGCCCATGCCTGATCTACACTGTTTTATTAATATATTTTTTTATTTCTTGGCTCAAAGCTAATCACAGCACAGTCAAAACACACAAACATTGCAAAAAATTCTATAAACACACATATTACAACAGGTATGGACAAACCCAGGCCAAGGACCGGATGTGGCCCCTTGGGCTCTTTTCTCAGGCCCTCCTCTCTCTCACCGCCTCTCACTCACCTCCCTACTCTCTTTCCTTCCTTCTTCCCACCCTCCCTTCCTTCCTTACCTCCCTCTTTCTCCTTCCATCCTTCCCTTCCACCCTTTTGTCCTTTCTTCCCTCTTTCCTCCCTCCTTCCCCTCTCTCTTTCTCTTTCTTTCCTTCCCATTTTTCTTTTCTTCCTTCTTTCCTTCCTTCTCTCTTTCCTCCCTCCCTCCATTCCCTTCCTTCCTTCCATACTCTTTCTCCCTCCCTTCCTTCCTTCTCTTTTTCCTTCCTTCTCTCCTCCTGGGGGATGTTTAGCTAGAAGAAAAGAAAGTAGAGGGGGAACATGAGAACCATGTTTCAAGATTTTAAAGGGTGTCCCATTGAGCAGGAGGGGGAAATCGATTTTCTGCTGCTCTAGGGACCAGGGCACAAGGGAGCAATGGTCTCAAGTGGCAAGGAAAGAGATACTACTGAAACGATTAGGAAGAACTTCCTGAAGAGTTGTATAGGCTACCTGGGAGTGTGGTGGAGTCTCCTTCTCTGGAGACTTTTCCACAGAGGCTATCTATCAGTAGTGCTTAGATTGTGCCTTCCTGCAGGGCAGGGGGTTGGACTGGATGGCCCTTGGAAGTCTCTTCCAGCTGTAGGATTCTAGAATTCTGTATCAGGAGTAGGCAATATGGGGTCTAATGGAAACACTTTTTCTCTCCCATCCACCATCTCATCCTAACCAAAGCCAACCCTTTTGGGATCCAAACGTTTTGCGTCTTTCCTTCACTTTCTGCCTCCAAAAGAGAAGAGGAAGGGGAGGAAAGGGCAGGGAGGGGACTTGGGAAGAACCCCCTCGCTCCCGGCCCACCCACCCCAATCCGGCCTGCCATGCAGCCCCCAAGTTAGAAAGTTTGCCCATGCCTGTTTTACAATGTAGTTCTGTAAAAGACACATATAAAATACATATTAAATACACAGGACAAAGATGAAAACAGGACATAAGTTTAAAATTCAGGCTTAAAACTAGTTGGGTAGGCCTGCCAGAAGAGATAGGTCTTTAGATGGGTTTTAAATGCACTTGAGCTATTTATTTATTTATTGTGTCAGAAGCTAATTGAGGGTACAGTTGTACTGTATTTAAAAACACAAACAAAGTTAACAACTTGGCATTATACTAAATGTCCTTTGACCAGAAGCTGGCCACTTAGAGTGCCTCTGGTGTCCTTTTGAGAAGGTCCTCCATTGTGCATGTGGCAGGGCTCAGGTTGCATTGCAGCAGGTGGTCTGTGGTTTGCTCTTCTCCACACTCACATGTCGTGGACTCCACTTTGTAGCCCCATTTCTTAAGGTTGGCTCTGCATTTCATGGTGCCAGAACGTAGTCTGTTCAGTGTATTCCAGGTTCCAAGTGAGGTCTGGCCAAGCAGAATAGAACAGAACTTTTGCGTCTTTCAGTCTAGACCACGCATGGGCAAACTTTGGCTCTCCAGGTGTTTTGGACCTTATAACAAACTGCCACCAATTGCATCAAGCAATGGAGGAATGGAAGGCAGAATTTGCCTCAGGCACACCACACACAAGATGGAGGACAAAGAACAAACAACAAAGTCTGGCCTAAGGCAAGGCCATGCAGGAATCAGACCACACACACCCTCATTCACACAAGGCCAGTCAGTGGGAAGCTACCACTGCCTTTTATATTTTGCTTTTGCTGCCCCCTATTATTTATTAAAGGTTTCTTTTGCTGCCACCACTTTATTATTTTAATAGGCCACCTCCTTCGCTGGAATGTTTAAAAAGCCACAAGAAGACTTCAGTTGGAATAAAACAGGAAAATGTTGTCTATTTTGAACAGTCAACATGCATAATGGTTTCAAATAACTTGCTGAGCTTTACTTCTTACAGAGGAGGGTACTTTGGTCTTGAATTTCTTAAAACAAAGTTCCACACACACAAATGCAAACAGGATGTTTGAAACCTTTGAAATCTCCCTTCTACAGCACTCTAATCCCTTTAGAGGCCAATTAACTATTATCCTCAAAGAGGTATCTTTAAACTACAAATAGTTCTCTATTCCTTCTTTTCTTACCCCTTCAAAACTTCTGACTGTCTTCTTCCCCACCAAACTCCTAAGTGAACTTAAAATGGCTGCCTCAGCTTCTTCTCTTTGCCTATGGATCTGCCCATCTCCAGTTACTGAGCTTTTCTCCCCAATTTCATCAGCCGGTCAGACTTCACTTCTGACTAAGAGGCTGCCTGTTTGCTCCACCCACTTTTCTCCTTAGCTTTTGCAAGCTGGGACTATTTTCTACCTTTTACACCAACCCTTTAAAGTTGTCCAATCTGTGACAGTCTTCAACACACACCATTTCTAACAGCCTCAGGCCCTTTCCTTTTTCCCTTCAGCTGCTTAAGCACCTAAGGGAGGAAAGGAAAGGCCTGAGGCTGTTAGGAATGGTGGGAGTCAAAGTTTCAAAACACCTGGAGGGGCCAAGTTTGCCCATGCCTGGTCTAGACCATGGTTCCCAACCCATGGGTTGCGACCCCAAGTGGGGTCACAAAGGGTTTTCTGTAGAATTACTGGGCAGTGGTGAGTTATGGAAATTTAAAAAACAAAAAAGCCACTATCCAAATGACACCATGCTTGTGTTTCGGGTTTTATCCCCTTTGTTTGTACATTTCTCTGTGAGCAGGCATGTAGCCAGGGGGGGAGCTCGGGGGGCTTCAGCCCCCCCCCCAAATTCTCATGGTGGTTCTCGAAAAGGCCTTACTGGTGCATTATTTAAACTGTTATGTTTATTCATATCATGATCTGATCACCATACTCAATATATCCCATATGCATGGGGGTATTGGGGTAATGATACAAAAGGTTTGCTAGGGTAGACCCTCTTTCACTCAGACAGCCCCCCCCGAAACTCACCCCCCCCCAAAACCACCCTGAAAAAATTCAGCCCCCCCCCCCACCCCCCCCCCCCCCCCCCCCCCCCCCCCCCCCCC